AGCGCTGACCCCAACGTTGATCCAAATTGCAAGCGAGGGCATGAAGAGCGCCCCGCCCAGCTTCAAGTTTGTGGCCGTTGGCGAGGCGCACTCGGCTTCGATTGACCTTGTTGGCCAAGTGTGGTGCTGGGGCGCCGGCTCCTTCGGCCGCTGCGGCCATGGCGAGGAGGACGACAACATGTACCCGCGGCAAGTCAGCTCACTCATCGGCAAAAGCTGCTGTCAGGTGGCCCTCGGGGTTTGTCATAGCTTGGCACTCACCGCACGTGGAACCATTTGGAGCTGGGGGGGATACTTGTACACCGGTCATGGCGAGAACGATGACATTGAGACTGCCCGAGAATTGGATGCCGAGCATCTAAAAGGCCACGTCATAATTGAGATCTGTGCTGGCCGATTCCATTCAATAGCTTTGAGCAGCACCGGTGATGTTTTCACTTGGGGCTCGGGAAGTATGGGGCGTCTTGGTTTGGGCACCACAAGCGACCAAGTCACCCCAGAGCCCGTGAAGGACGGCCAGAAGCCACCGAAGCCATTTCTCGGCTGGACACGTGAAAGCCGCACTCGTAAACCTCAGGATGTCATCGAAAAGGGCCAAAAGGGCCTGGAGAGCCAGATTCAAGTATTGGTCTGCGGCGGCATGCACTCAGCAGCCGTGGAGAAAGATGGTACCTGCTGGCTTTGGGGCACCGGGGAGTATGGACAAAACTCTTCAGCTGAGGCACAGGATTTCTGGAAGCCGGTGTCGCTCGCAGCCATGGATCCTCTGTCAGGCTCGAAGATCAAAGTGCTAACCGTCGGCCTGGGCATGGAGCACTGCCTGATGATCTCCACCAACTTGGAGCTCTTTGCCTGGGGCCGAAACCACCACGGTCAGCTTGGCCTCGGCACCACCAAGGCCTCCCAAGAAAAGCATAACATGCAGGGCATAGCGGCATAGCGGGATAGCATGCAGGGCATCGCAGGGCGGGTTGACATGATCTTTCGCGGCCAGCATGACGGTAGCAGTTGTTTTGCGCAGCTTGCCTCTGCCTCACAAATAGATAGGCACCTTTGTCATGGCTCTGCTTCGGCTTTCTCCGCCATACCCCACTCCTGAACACGACGGCAAGACCCTTCCCCCCCCCTTTCCCCCCGAAAAGCAAACAAAGATGTGCCTCTCCACTCCGAGGTTGCCGCAGGCTCTGGGAGTTTGTAAAGATGTGCCTCCAAAAGAGATGAAATGAGAAGCTTTGCACACGCCAATGGACACTTTGAGGGCCTGTGCGCATGTGCAAAGCGTCGTATCCCCCACTCTGCAAGAATTGGTAGCGGCCAGTGTGCAGTTTGTGGAGCTGAACCCCCCCCCCCCCCCCCCTTCCCTTTCCACGGTGCATGCATATAGACCTGTGCATCGAGGACATGAGCGAGCCCACCTTCGTGGCGGCACTGTCCAAGGTCAGCGCCGTGGCCGCAGGCGAGGATCACTCCGCAGCGATTACACCCGGCGGCGAGATTTACACCTGGGGCAACGCCGAATGTGGCAAACTTGGGCATGGGTCGAGCATGATACGGAGCTCCATGGGTTTCCCAAAGCAGGTGAAGATTGAGAGCCGCATGAAATCAGTGAGTTGCGGAGCAATGCACACAGCTGTGATTGGCAACAATGGGGAGCTCTTCACCTGTGGAGCAGGATGGTTTGGCCGCCTGGGGCACGGGGACATGGACAACCAATATGCCCTGAAGCTCGTGCAGAAAGTCCAGCCTGATCTGGTTTCTTTTGCTGAGTGCCCCAGGTTTGCGCAGGTGGCGTGCGGATCTTTTCATACCTGTGCGCTCGACGAGCGATCGATGTTGTGGGTCTTCGGTCGGGACTACACAGTCTGTGAAGAGGACCACATCAAGTCGCCCCTGCTTTTCAAGAAGATCGAGGAGGGAGAGGCAGAGGTACTGGCGGTTTCAGCAGGCGGTAGCCACACCCTGTGCATCACCTCTCAAGGTTTGTGGGGCTGGGGTGACAATAGTAAGGGCCAGCTTGGACTGGGCAAAGGATCTCCGGAGCAAGCTGGGCCCACCTTGGTTTCTTGCAAAGGTTGGGGAGCCAAGAACGGAAAAGCGGAGCTGGTTGCAGCAGTCTGTGGCTACGCCCACTCCCTTGCCATGGCGGAGTCTGGCGAGATGTGGGCTTGGGGCCTGCAAAGTGGTGGCCGCCTGGCCCTCAAGACGCCCTTTGAGGGGAAGTGCTGCCCCGTGCCTCACAAAGTCTTTCCATCCTGGAAGTTTGTTGAGAAGCCTGAGGAGAAAAGCAAGGCATGACAAAACGTCATGCATGCGTTGTTAATGGTGTCCCGAGGATGGAATCCCTGCTCCAGATCATTTACACGGATCGCACAAATCGAAGTTGCATTTCAGCAGCAGGGCTCCGTCCCAAAGATCGCGAAACAGCTTGACCTGCAGAATTGGCGTAGCCTGGCCCCCTGCCGAAAAAGTGGGTGGAATCGGAAAGGGAAATCTCGGAAATCTTCCCCAACTGCAGGATCCCGAGACTGAAAGGGGGGGGAGGGGGGGAGGGCCTTAAGTTCTGGCAGCTCTCTTTGCTTTCTCTCAAGGTTGTCCCTTGACAAAAACACGTTCTTTTTTCAATACACACTCGTCAGTGGTCAGCGATTGCTTCTCATAGCTCTTTCTCCCTCTCTCTCCCTCTCTCTCTCTCTCTCTCTCTCTCCCTCCCTCCCTCCTAAACCCTAAATCCTAAGCCCTAAATCCTAAACCCTAAACCCTAAACCCTATAAACCCTAAACCCTAAACCCTATGCCGTACCCTAAACCCTCTCCCTCCCTTTTTCCTTTTTCGAGGTCACCGGCAGCCGCAGCCGATTCGGCAACCTGGCGAGGCGCGCCCGCCTGGACACCTTGACCTTCCCGAACGAGGAGCCGCCGCCCCAGCCCGCGGACGGCGCGACGATCAATGTGTGGATAATATGTATACTATATATATATATGTGTGTGTGTGTGTGTGTATCTATTTATGTACATATATATATATATATGCATACAGATTTGTGTTTTACACACACATGTATGTATGTATGTATGTATGTATGTATGTATGTATGTATGTATGTATGTATGTATGTATGTATGTATGTATGTATGTATGTATGTATGTATGTATGTATGTATGTATGTGTGTGTATGTATGTATGTATGTATGTATGTATGTATGTATGTATGTATGTATGTATGTATGTATGTATGTATGTATGTATGTGGTAGGCATGTTTTCTTCTGCATACACCATATACACATAATATACATGTATATATATACACATATTCTTTGTGTTCGTTTATTTACATGCTCGTTTAAGAATTTCTTTTCTAATTCTTCATGCACTATAACGATGAACCAAGCAAATCAGGAACCCAGACGGTCTAACCCTGCTGGACAATTGAGGAAACGAGTTCAAGAAGTGATCGAGCCCTCACTCTCAAGAAGTTGCATGGATTTTTTGCACAGTAAGTGTGCGGTTATCACAGCCCATCACAGCCCTAGTTAGACTGCCCAAACCTTTCCTCGACTTCCTCAGATGCTGAGGTGGCACAAGTGCTGCCGCTTGGTTGATTGCTTCAGTTTCGGGGGCAGTTTGCAGAGGAACGGCTCCCTGAACCCTTCCCATGCGAGGCATGATCAACGATGGCCAGAAGATGCTCTGCGACTGTCTTGCACGTCTCAAGTTCTTGCACAGGCCTTTGAACATGTCTTGAGCCCTCCAACGAGCGCTGGAGGTGAGGACGTGACGGCCATGCCTCCTTCTGAGCTTGTGAACCAACACCACGGGATGCCAGGGGCTCAGGAACAAAGAGAGTGCAAAGTGGTTTGAGGTCTTTTTGGGAGAGCCCCCCTCGGGAGAGCCCCCTGGGAAGGATGCTCTCAGGTGGCGCATTGATGTTGCATCTTTCGTGCTGAGCTGAGGTGCGGCACGCACACCTGCATGGGTGCTGACGAGCGGTGTCTGCATGTGGACCACCAAGAGGCCGACATTGGCTCCGAGGAAGATCAAGAAGTTCAGGGATTAGACTCTGCATTCCAACGAAGGAGGAACTCAAGCAGCCGAAGAAGGGGCAGTGCCCTGGAGATGCTCGGCTCACCGCACTAGAATTTGCAGATCTGTGGGACCAATGGACCCCGAACCCACCTTGGCAGTTGCCAGCTGAGTCATGCCACGACGATTGCATCCAGTCTTCTGAGCGCCTGGAGTGTATCCGCTTAGGCCAGGCACGTCTTTTCCACGCTGATCCGTGTTGCATGAGTCTGACCATGTCTGACTATGGCCGCGGGCATTCCTTGCCTGTGCGAGGCACCATCACGCAAGATGCCGGAACGGAAGGGCACAACGCACAATACGCCACGCGGCTCACGGAAGAGAAAGAGCACTCCCGAGAATCCCAGGATGCATCTAAGCAATCCAAGCTCACTCTCGCCTTTCACTGCAGCAAGTTCCGCCTGGAACTCCAAGCCAAAGCCGCGGAAGCCGCGGTCTCAAGGTGACCGACGAGTTCGGCCAGCCGGGGAAGTATGAAGCTTGTCTGTAAAGCAGATCCGTGACCGGTGACCGGTGACCAGTGCTGTGATCTGCCAAGTTGCCCCCCCCCCCCCCGTGCCTCTCAGGAAGTCTTCTCCTTGTCGATGCCATGGCAACTCCTTCTCCTCCCGCAGCCCTCCTCATCTCAGCGACGCAGGACCCTTCTTGCAGAGGCCGTTATTTTTACAGCATTTGACTTTTCTTGGGGTGCCTATTAGCAAACAGCCAGTGCTCACAGCAGTGCCAGAGCGCGAGCTGAGATCCTTGCTGAAGGACGCGACGACAGGCTTGGGAGCAGTTCCTTTCCCGGAGCTGAGCAGCAAAATGAGAAAAAAAAGGCAAAGAGAGCCTCCGAGCGGCCGAGCCCGCCTGCACGGGAAAGCGCCTGCAGCGAGTGACACCGAAGTTGGCCAAGGGTTTTTGTACCGCTCCCTGAGGAGTGGGCGACGGAAAGCGGGAGCCTCACACCCTTGCAAGTAAGAGGCACAGAAGACGACCTCTTCTCCCGGAGGGGGAGGGCCCAGTCCCTTGCTAAGTTTGCCGAGGCCGCTTCCCGCTCCAGGCCTTCTGAGAGCACGTGTGTACAAGGGGGGATAGGGGTGGGGGGGGGGGTGGGCCATATAGGCAGGGCCATATTGGGAGTAGTGGGGTACGAGTGTATACACCCTACAACTACAATCTGCAACTCCGGAAGTCGTTGGGGTTCTTAGGGTTCGCCCTCATGTCACGAGTCTTTTTGTTCGGCGCTGCCGCATGGCAGGCGGCACTCCAAATCTGCATCGAACCGAAGGAGGCCCCCACGGCAGCAGATAGGCAGATTCTTGTACTGATTATATGGTACATCTTACCGAGGAGGGAGGAGTCAGGCGTGCAAACTTCTGCAAACATCTGCAAACATCGCCATACATCGCCTAGTGACCTCGCGTGTGGCAGAGCATGAGAATGTTCGATCAGCCAACGAGGCGAGCATCGCGGAGACGTTCGGCACTCATTGGAGAAGAGCCAATGCACAGTGGCAGAATGTGGCGGAGTGCGAGAGAGAGAAAAAGACACTCAGGGTCCTCCAAGCGGAGAGAAGCATCCAGGCCCGTGCGACTTCAAGTTCCCCTGGGGCATGTCAAATTTATGAAGCGCACGTGAAGTCACAAAGTTAATTTAAAAAATGTTAAGTATTTTAACTACAGTAATTTTTCAATTAATTTAACTTTTTTAATTGATTGAACCAATTTAATCAATTCAGTTTAATTCAAATAATTTTTAAATTCATTGCTTAATTATTTATGCTTATTTTTATATTTTTTATTTTTTTGTAGTTATTTTAGTTACTTCTTTAATCTGTTTATTTCATTGAATAAATTTAGTTACATGTACACAGTTTTTTATTTAATGTCACATTTTGTGAATTAGTTTATTTCGTTTTAATTAATTCAATTAGTTTAATTGCTTTCATTACTTTAATTAAGTTAAGTAATTTCAGTACTTAAACTAATTAAACTAATTAGATCAATTTAATTACTTTAATTACTATTCTTGTAAATAAACTAAATAAAATTAATTATTCAAATTCATTTAATTGAATGTATACATTGACATAAATGATAATTAACAATAATTTACTAAAGAATTATTAACTAATTATAATTAGTAAAAAAAATCATTACTAATCATTATATTAACTAGTAATTTAAAAGTTTTATGTTATTTAAGAATCATTTACCTTAATTTAATTAATGTAGTTAATTTCGTTGTTTAATTATTTGATTAATTCATTAATTTAAGTTTGAACTTAAAATTGAGTTAATTGAATTCAATTATATTTCTTTTCATTTCAATTAATTTGTTGTATATTGAAGTAATTTTAAGAATTACTCATTAATTATGAAATTAATTAACTTATTAAATAATTAAACTAATTAAAATTCATCTAAATTAACTAAATTAATTTCAAATAATTCAATTAAATTAATTAAATGTCACTGAATGTTCATAATTCAATTAATTACAATTTTAATTAATTAATTAATTAAATTAATTAAATTAATTAAAATCAATTAAATTAATTAAATTAATTTAA